AATGTGTTTTATCGCAATGAAAGTGATATACCCAAATACTTATTTACTTTTGATTCGTAAATCTCTTGTTTAATGGGGTCGTGTACTTCTTTCACATATGGATTAAATGTAATATAATGTGGATCATCCATGGTAGGTGAGTTAAATACTTGATTTACGCTTTCCTTTACGCACGCTTTTACACGATCTTGAAAAGCTTCAAAATTATTTTCATATCTGCAATATCGCCGATTAATTCAAACATGTAGGTATCCTGGATGATACATTATTTTCACGTTTCCTTTAAGGACAAATATACTTACAAGCTAGACGCCTCCTCGTTTATTGAAGTCATTTTCGCGTCTAGTTTAGTGAATATCTTATTGATATACTGTAATAATTACCAAATTCTGTTATTTCTTCTCCATTCCGAGAAGCCCCATGATGTGCACAATTCTCCACTTTCTGGATTTATTAATGGATGAAATATTTGAGTTTCAAACACAACTTTCTAAAACACATTTGAATGAAAAAAACTATACGTAAAATTGATTATCTGCGAGTCAGTATTCTTACAGGACAATCTCCAAGTGGAAAGTTAGGAGGCAGTGTAATGGTGAATCTAAAAACTCCGCCTTTGTAGATTCCTTGCCGAATGAATTGTACACCAAACCATACTGTGACAAAATGTGAAGATAAAGTATTAGAACTTTTTACAATCGCTAGTTTAACTACATTAAAGTGAAATAGGCAAAAGATATAGTATAGATATATTTACATCAGAACCATTATACAAGTCGTAATCGGGAAGAGCAAGACCTATAAAATAGGTTTACACCTATCAAAAACATACTAACATTTCAATAGAAAGAAAGTTGATTCGTTTTTATTCATATAAAATTTCTTTACAACTCTAAATTGAATATAATTTGCTTACAATTAGAAGAATTCCAACTTTACTCAACGGCTTGGAAATTGCAAATATATATAGGTAAAAACTTCACCCTTTTTAATAGTACCCCGGAAAAAAATGTTTTATATATTATATATTATATAAAATTATATACAATTTTATATAACTGTATATAAATGGATATATTTTATATATAATTATTCATTATAAAACATTTCTGAATATATAACAAATTTATCGACTACCCAATTTGAAGTAATGATTTGGATTCGATGCCGCTAGTTGGTGCCACTATATAATTTGATGTGTCTTACGAGTATTCAATGCCGTTAGATGGCACAATCTTACTGTTATTTTACTCAAAAATATTTCTGTATATGATAAAATAAATTAATAAATACATTCATCTTTACGCGCAATCTGTTGCAAATGTTTCTTCAATTCATGAAATGCGTGGATGAAAAAAAATGAATTGTAAATTAAGTATAAATTTTATAAATTTTAGGTTTGTGCTTAATTCTCGAAAAGAACAAAAAATTCAAGAAAGTAAGTAGTTATAATAGAAATAAATATTAATTTAAATATTTAAATAAATAAAAGTTTCAATAATAGACTTTATACAGAAGCCGAGTATTGCCGATACATTTTTTTTATAACTTTCGAATCTGACATGGCAATTACATTCGTCTGTTACATACAAGAGTGTCGTCTGCATGCTTATCTGAAAGCAAAATTATTAGTTTCGAGAAATTTATAGATAGAAGAAATTTATAGAAATTTATAGATTGATTTGAAATGCATTAAAAATCTTTTTATTACTCATTTACTTAGTAAGTCGTTCAATCTCCATTACTGTCGAGAATTCGGATATCGTATACTTTCTACAAGATTTTCTTTTTTATCGCAATTGCTTTAAATTGAACACAAGCTTTCCTTAAAGCAGCTTCCTCTTAATGATGGACCACACATTTTCAATTGGATTCGCATCAGGCGATTGTGCAAGCCAATTCAAAATCTAATATTATTGCGGCTTTTCAGTACAAATATGCAGTCACAGACTGAGGTGTCATTATCCTCTTGCTGTATCCACGATTCACTATCCGATTTAAATCATTTGTTAATCTATTTTAACAATGCTTGCCAATAGATTTCGAGCATCTTTTCAGCATTTAGATTATAAGTAAACAAGTACAAAGTGTCAATAACAATTAAATTACTCCAATCACGATTCAATTTTTTTTGCATAATCCATAAACGTCGCTTTTCGATATGCTTTGGTTTAAAAAAATATTTTGGCATCGCCGCTAAGAGATGTTTACCTTATTTAGCCGCCTCTTCAAAGTGATCATTATACTGCACACTCTTTCCTTGGCTAACAACTTTTGGCCTTGTTGCAATATCAATAGAGACTTTCGCCGAAATAACTTTTGATTTTATCGTCTTTCTCCGATGTCCCTCGCGTTTTTCCTCTCTCTGGAAAATCGACATTTTTTTTTGTTCTTTATATTGTTTCACCCACTTCCGTACGTAGTCTTCTAACTTATGCATATAATTTATAGCAGCAGTTTTATAAATTCATTTTAAGTCCTTTACTGTGATTTTGTGAGTACACAAGAATACTGTCTCAAAACGTTTACTCAGATAGAATACAAAGACATAATTAAGTCATAATGATATCATTATGACATCGTTTGATACTTAAAAACGAACTTTTAACAATTAGAGTCATGTCTTATGATATTACATGATTTTTGTGTTCTATTTGAGTGGTATACGGCGCATACTTATTTTGGAAATCACGTATTCTTATCATCACAATCAACCACAATGGAAAGTCCTGGGATTTCTAGGAATAGTAATCACAAAATAGTAAGCTCTCTTCAACGAATACCACAGTGGTCTTTAATAATTTTCCTCTGAAGCAGTCTAAGTCCGACGCTCTTGTGTGACAGACTATTATCTTATTGCTACCTATATTGGCAACTCGCTCTTTCTCCTTTTTTATTCTTTATACATTTCTCTCGGCCTTAATAATCGTAAAACCGGCTGTCCGTTCCTCGGTATCGCGGTGGTCCGTCCAAATCGTTCGTTCGGATCGATCGTGATTGGGTTTTGCACACGGCTAAGTGCACCGACGAAAAAACGGGGCGGTCGAGCGCGGAGGCCCGAGGCACCGTAATTTCCTGATCGTCCACCGAAACCTGACACGGGCGGTCTCTCTGTTCGTAAAGTGCACGTTGCGCACGACCACGCTCCCGATTATTATGAAATATAAAACATATGTTCTTCGGTATCAACCTTAATAATCATTTAATTGTACTTTGAAAACGAGTAGCCCTTTAAAAACGATACCATAAACAAGTTAATAACGTTTATCATTTTCGCGTCGTATCGAGAATGTATTTCATCTGCGAGTGAAAGCGAGAGTACTTGATTAAATATTGGCACTTGCAGAAGGAATAAATTGATTTCATAAGTATTAAATTTAATTAGAAATCGTTCGATTTTTTTAGGAATGAGAGATGCATTTATCTCGTAATAAGTTGGAGTAAAAAGGTGTAAGACGTCTTAATAGGGAATATAATATCTATCATAAATATTATTTCGTTTTACTTTATATATTTTTAATCCTTTATGTAAAGATATCTTTTATCAAAAAGTCATCTTTTCATTTATGATTTATTTTGTTGTCATTTAAACATTGTCGTGATTTGTTTCTTGAAAGGCAGACTACACATTGTTATACTACAGCTTTATTCGCATCTTACTAATAGACTAGTCCATTTTTCAATCCAGTATGTAAATCTCTATAGCAAGACATAATTAAAAGATATTCTTTTCGATACTGGTTTTAATTATCTGCCTGTTTGAATATCTTTTCAAAATTGATTGACACATTAATGATGTGTATTATTTTCGTCGCCACGAGAATTGATTCTCATATGTAGAAATTAAGAACTTAATAAAAAATTCGATGTCTGTAATAAAGAACGTAATAATTTTCTTTTTTAGCTTTTATTAAGAATTATTAGATTTACAATTAGAATGTTTGTTATTATCATAATTAGGATTAGCAAAGAATAGATATTTTGACACATTTATTTGCTCTAATATCGTTATTAATATTACGATTGTTACGAATGAACTATATAGTGACGAGACGTTTTCCACCTGTAAATATGAATGAAATACGTTTTACTGTATTCTGTTTTATTGACTGGCATTAAGATTGTACAATATTAAATCTAAATAGTATCAAATCATGTCATTATATTCGGTATTTATGGATCTTTTTTTATAATTAATATATTTTTATCTTTCATAGTATGGCTAATACAGTATTTCTAATTCAGTAATATACGACGAAAAACGATTTAAATTACTCTTTCGTCTGGCACGCGATGATCCAAAGTCAGCAAGTCATTGGCTGAAATTGCTATTAAAAATTGAAAAGTGTTCCAGATTGCGATCATATAACTCTTTCCAGGACAAAAACGCAATAAGTGAAAATTTCTTCCATTATCTTCGATGGCAAAAATTTCCATTTTTCACGTTTTTACTCAAAGGGAAAGTAACATGATCAGTTACTCTGATCTATAATTTCCATGTTTGCCCGCTTCGCTTTGATCGATCGGTTCCAATACTCCCAATTTCCAACGAGCAATCTCAATTTTCAATCTAATAGTCTAATACACGGAGTTAAGCCGCCATGGTCATCATGGTAGAGACTAAAGAGTAGAGTAAAGAATTGAGCTCCAGGGCGCGCCGTGACCGGCTCTCCTCGCGTTATCAGTCTCGTTTCCCGCGGAAGAGAGCCGTCCTTGCGTCCCCCTGAAAAAGTCGTGGCGCGCGAAGGATCCCCACGGAACCGCGGGGGAGGCTGATAGAGAAGAGCGAAATGGAAAAAGGTGTACCGTTCTCCGCGGCGAGAGAGGTAAACGAGCGAGCGGCTCGCCGTAGCGCGGGGCGGGGAAGGGGACGGGGCAGGTGGAGGGGAGAGACGGCACGGCGCGCACCAACCCATCCCCACCAATCGCGGTCTACGGTTGCGTCGCTCGGCGCGGCGAGTTTGTGCGACTAGCGTTCGCCTGCACTCGCCCGTGAGACGCCGAAGCGACAGGTAGCGCAACACACTACACGTTCGTCGCGCCCTCCTCATCTCTTTCCCCGCCGCGTCGCCCTCCCTCGTGCGATGTAAACACGGCCCGCGTTCGGCAGGTGGTCGCAGGCTGCGGACGCGCGTGGTACGTGGTACCGTTCGTGCCGCGCGTCGGGAACGCGGAAGAATTTCTACGAGGGGGGAGGGGTTCTCGCGTTTGGCAATTGACAGTGATCGGTGACAGTGCATTACATCCGTCGTTCGTTCGCCGCTCGCCCGCGCGATCGAGAGCGCAAAGTGTATTATTCTTTCTCTCTCGCTCCATCGGACGGTGCAGTGATCTCCCGTGCTCCAGCCGCGGACAGTCTGGGTTCACGAGTTCGATTTGAGTGTCGTCACATCGAGGAGAGGAAATTCCCTTCCTGGAACGCAGTTCTCTTCCTTCACCGTCATCTGAGACAGCCCGGCGGCGACGAAAGTCAACCTACGTCGTGGGGAAAAAGAAGCAATTTATAGGAGCGGATTTATCGGTGAGTTGAGTCACTGATTTTTACATTTTTCGAAGGACATTTATCGGCCGACTGTTCGATATACGATATCGGAGCGAACTTCACGCGATAGGATTTAACCCTTTCGAATTGAATATCTCAAGCGTTCATACTCGGTTCTTATATTTAAGACAACTTAAATACTGACATTAGATGCGATCGATTCCAAGGTTTGTTTTCTATTTCTGCACTAGATTGCACTAGAATGCAACTAGATGAACTCTCTTTCTCGCTTTCGCCAATTATCGAACCTACATCTATCTCACCTTAAGTTCCAAAAGTGTACACTAGTGTCACTAGTTCAGTCATAGAAAACAGACTTCTAATATTCCAATTTGCAATTTTTAGTCTCTAATACTAACGTGAGGTGAGCTTTATTGCAGTGATATTGCAAACGTTGCAGCAATGTTGTTTACGAGCTTTTGTGCTGTATTGACTGTCGATTGTCTCGATTTCAGCAAAAAGTATCAAAGTGTCCCACTAAAAATGGGACATGACAATTTATGTAGAAAAATGAAGCAATAGAGAATATTAACGATTGCTTCAATCTTGTCAGTGTGTATAAAATTATTTAGCGTTGATCGTGAAAAAACTTGGTCTTATGGAATTTTGTCTTTCAATTAAAATTTCAGTTCTAGTTTATCTTATGTCCATTTCCGTCATTGTCAATTAACTTCGGTCTCGGCTTAATTTAGTCTTTATTCTTTTTTAATTTTTAGAAAAAAAAGATGAAAAAGATCAAAGTTATTACATTGATAGAAACGGGCATTAGATTAAAAAAGAAAAACTTGACAATAAAAGCGAAAATGGTTAACGAGAATTTAAAATACGTCACGCGTTTTTATTTTGTCAGATTATTTATTTCGCATTTATTTAATGTTCTCCCCCGTAAAAGTCACTGTATTTCGATTCGAGACACGTTGGTACGTGGGTAGGTACATACGTTTCTAAATAACGAAAGGATTAAAACCTTAAAGCTCGGAAATAAATTATGCGCGCGCCGGCGTGAATGCATGAGTAATGCGTATTGAAATAACACGATACACAATTAACATGCTATGCCACACGCGCGGCATTTACCCGGAATAATTTGAATAGACAAATTGTCGGTTATTCGAGTGCGCGTCATAATATACTTCGCCGCAGTGATTTATTTTCGCAGCGGTGGACGCGCGAATTTTTATTACCGTCATAATATTAGCGCACATCAAAACGACAGGATCGGTAGACATTAATATTAATGTACAACACGTTCCTCTATTTATATATGCAGCTATTTACAAACACGACTGTTATTCACAAACGTTTATGTCTCACGAATCTGTCGCTGCCGATATTAATCTTTCAAGAAAAGTTTTGAATTTATTAAAGATTTAGCCTTAAAATATAATACTGTGAATTTGGAAATAATTTGATAAATAAAGGGCATCTCGAAAAAAAACGTTACACATTGAGAGCAAAATGTTCGATATCTGTGACTATAATTGTGTAAAATCATTTATAGTTAGCTTCATTTTTATAGTTGTTTTCGGGACCAACTATTATATTTTTTGTACATAGAGAATTACAAATGTAATTAGAGTAGAATAGAATAATTTATTCGCTTCAGCACACATTTTAGCCTAGAAGGAGACTTGTAAATATAATTGTAAATATAATTATTATTACTAACGTTGTAGAATAAAAACTGCAAAACTGGAACTCTTGATTATAATTATTTTATTATACGATTATAATCTTAAATACCAACACTTTCCTCTCATTGCAATCATCATGAATGAAAAGTGCTATTTTAATAGAAAAACGTTGTACAGTTTTAATTACTGTATGGTTACGTTCAGCAGACTGTTTATTTTGCAACTGTTGGAACTTTACTTCATTCCGATTGAATTACATTTTCAGATCTGAAAGTATAATCCAATCATTAAGAAAACTTCAAACAGTTGCAAAATAAACATTCTGCTGAACGGAACCAATCAAAAGGGTACAATTTAATGCACGTTTTTTTAAGGGATTAATCTTGAAGAAAATTAAATTTAGATTAGCATATTCAATGTTGCGTCGAATCCTTCGATTTATAATTGCGAAAAATAGGTTATGAGTCGTGAGCAATTTCGTTGAGAAAATTGCGGCATTCGCACGTGCAATGGGCACGTGTAGGTTCGTTGACACGGCGTTGCACGGACTGCACGCCCTATTTCCATTCGTACCTTCGCCACATATATCGCCGTGCATGTGTGTCGTACTTATGAGAGCACAGGTGATGTCTACGTACGTCCCGGGTCCGTCACGATTAGTTTTCGACTATCTCGCGTGACGTTAACCTGCTTTCGAAACATTGTATCACGATACGTTCATACGCAGTAATCAGGTTAATATCCATCGGATACTTTGCGTTATCGTTAAATTATTCTTTAAATAGACGTAGATGGAACACATTCATATTATATTCTATAGAATGTAATAGAGTGTGTCTCTTTCGTATTTCATTCAATAAAATTAGCTTGTTTTAATTTTACACGTAATAGACATTGACTTGTATTCCCCTGAGCTTACATGATTAAATTCATAATATTAAATTATTCCCAATTTGAGTTATTTTTCATGAAAAATCATTCGATTGTAAATCATTTGTAAGAACTAATTGTGATTGTAATTAATTTATTTGTTAGACGAACTCAATTTAAGTTGGAAGGATTTGGATTATCTTTTACTTTTTTTCACGTTTGTAATTCGATACTATTAAAGAAAAAGAGAACGATATTATACAAACTATCACTATCTAAACTCTTTCTAAGCACTCTTTCTAAACTAATAATGATAATTTCATGTAAGAATGTGCGCAGACATCGTTATATTTCAAAATATTTCACACGCTAAATAATTCGCTCTCGTTTTAATCGCATCGCGAGCGCTTAATTATCGAATGATGAATCACTTGAAGTTTTTAATTATGATGTCGAAAAGAGGAAGAAGTTCGAGAAAACGAAAGAGAAAGACTGGAGAAGCGTAGTAAAGAGTGAAAAAGGGAAAAGGAATGCGAAGTCCAGGCGATCCTCGCGATCCGCTGCCAAGTCATTGATCGTTCACGGTGACTATAAATCCCGAAACGTGGATCGGCAGCCCATTCGGATCGGATCCGCGTTTAGTTATGGCCGTGCTCGTTATACGCTAAGTTCGCAATGTGCATCTTTCACGAGCATCTGTAGATGCAGGCGTATGCGTACACGACGATATCGCGTGCGAACGTCCGTGCGTGCATGGCTAAGGAATGCATCGAGAATTTTCATTGCGCGTGATCCGGATTTTTCATGGCCGCGTTGGTAGCGTCGCCGCTTAGGTGAAAATTAATAGTTGTTTACCTATAATAATTCCCCGGGTGATCAACCTCTGCGAGAAGACGATTACTGCGACCATATCGCGTTATGAGAATGCGCGCCTGATTGTCGTTGTGATTTACGGGCCTTTAAACGTGGGAAAGTCGCCACTTTTTGCGCTACGTTCTAAATTTTTACTCATTTAGGCTAACGATCGGTTTAACCCCGAAAAAGATATTCGAACTCAAATCAGATACGCAGCTTCAGAATTATTTTCGAGGGTCCAATAAGACCCTTTTTTTTTTATAGCTTATCTTGAAGAAATTTAGTTGTTACAGAAGTTTAATTATTATATTAATTCACTATTAATTCGCTAGTAACTGCGGATTATTATTACCGGATTTCTTTCAGCAATATTATGGCGGCAAGATTGCTAGTTTGCAAAAAAGTTTTTTCCAAGAATTTCTTTGAACTTTCGAAACTTTTTGTGTCTTGCCTTATTGTAACTGGGAATCGAGAGCGGAGAATGATTCTGTTGAAAATAGAATTACTCGACGATAGAACTTTACATTGAATATGGTAGAATTATTTTGCAAATCTGGTCAAGCTACTTCGTCTCTTTTTGTAGCTCTTTCACGGCGTGGAAGACAGGCGATCGCGATTATATTTTCAGGCAAAGAAGAATATTTTCAGCAAAAGAATGCTCGCTCGGCGGGCGATATTTTCTTAGGCGGAAAACAATGCCGGACGGAGATGAGCGCATCTTTCCGCTCGCAGCCAAATACAATACGTGATTTTTACGAGCACCGGTCGGTGGAGATGTTATAACTTTCGTGGGGTATAACTAAACGAGAAGTAGCTCCAGACGGACAGTTGAAAAGTTTCGCACGGCTATATCTCCGTATAAGACAGGCTATATTCCCTTGTGCGTGGCACGCCTATAAATGCTGTATTCTGCTATGACTTATTGCGTCTTTTGAAGTGTCGTTTCCTTCTCTTCGTCGCATTCTGCGAATTTTCCATTCCGCATTTATTTCCCCGTACGCACTCGCCGAGGTGGCGATAAATTAAGTCGGAAGTATTCTCGCTCCCCCTGTTGCTAGTTAATTATCTTCCTCCGACAGGTAGCCTGTTCAATCCTCCTAAACTGATTGTGAGTCTATTGAATCCACATTATAAATCTTTTTTGTCAAAAATGTCGTTTGAAACAATTTCATTTTCTGTTAAGTACATTTGTGCAAATTTGGATTATTCTTATTTAAAGTCTTTGGAGTGAAATCTCGCTCTAAAGAGTAACAATTATGTCAGTCTTGAAAGAGAGTGGCTCAATTTTCAGTCTTTAAGAGCGAGATTTCACTCTTTATGATGAGATTCACTCTAAAAGTTTTAGAGAGTATTTATTAAAATATACTTAGTATGCCTTTCTTTAAATGAATTTATGTCATTTTGGAAATTAATTAGTGCCTTTTAATTAAGATAAATTGAATAGATCTTACAGAGTAGTGTCAGTAATTATATTACAGATTTTGGCATCTCCGGGATTTTGGGATAATTCGCGATAAATTTTCATTGCGATACCTCATGAAAATGTTATATTATTATACATCTCAATTCTCCGTACAACGTTTTAAAACAAATTAGGAAAAATGTCAGAAAAAAGAAACA